GGAAAGGCACAAAGCTACACAGAGAAACCCTGTCTCGAAAAACCAAAAAAAAAAAAAAAAAAAATTCTAGAAGCTTCTAAGTGTCTCTTTCCAATGTTATAAATGGATCTCATTTTTAATCTCTAAAAATAACTGTCTAGTTAGCAGACATTTTATCATAAAATAATTTCTATGGGGCATTTGTCAAAAGAAGATGTAACTTGACATTTTGTCTTTTTCTCCCCTAGATACTGTTTTTCGGATTTGGATGGCTTTTCTTCATGCGCCAGTTGTTTAAGGACTATGAGGTGAGAAGAAACCATTTTATGCTTTAGTGTGTTTAGAACAGAAGAAGAAAAATGATTCCATTAAAAAATAAAAATTGCCAAGCAGTGACGGTGCATGCCTTTAATCCCTGCACTCAGGAGGCAGAGGCAGGTGGATCTCTGTGAGTTCAAGACCAGCCTGGTCTACAGAGTGAGTTCTAGGACAGCCAGGGCTATACAGAGAAACCCTGTCTTTAAAACAAAACAAAACAAATAAAAAGATTGCATTCACTTCCTCAGATAGAAAACCTGTGCCAAACAAGCATGTGCAATTATGAAACTACATATTATGATCAGGCTTCGCTAATAGATTGATTTACCTATCACTTACTAACTTACCTATATTGGTGAAATTATTAAGGCCATTCTGTGTAGTTAAAAGGAGATTTATTTAATGGCGTAACTTACAAATGAAGGGATAGGTAGGTTAAGGGTTCTGGCAGTGTTCTCTGGAGAGCTCTGTCGGTCCACCTCTAGCATCTGGGAACCCAGCACCTCCCGATCTCGGGTCTCCAGGGCCCTCCCTTCACCCCGCCTTGTAGGCGTGAAAGTTACCGAAGCCTCAATGGGGGTTGGAACTTTCAGATCAAAACTGGAATGGCTACCCACTACATCTCCCCCTTTTTGTCTAAATAAAAAGGTTCTAACTTAATACAAGACTATATACAAAGGAATGGTTATCAAATATTGTCCAGGAGTAATGAGGGATAATGACCTAGATAAGTTGGAACTACAATCAATGCGAACAATATCAAGCAAGAAACACATACTAAAATCCAGAGACGTCTAGAGCGTAGGTAAATGGTATGTTACAAAGATCATTCCAAAAGGTGTCCTATCCTAAAGAACCTAAATCTAATACTTAATATGTTCTATCTAAGATATATATATATATACTAATTTGTAACTATAACTGCTAGTCTTCAATCAAAGACCTGGGAAGGAATATAATGGTACCTGAGAAATGGTAGATGGATGTAAGCAACTTTCGGGAATCTTGCAAGAGTAGACCGAGACAGCTGGCAGCCTGGACAGTCACCTAATGTTTCTCAGCATTGTTGGTGCATTCAAATTGGCTACAGGCCTAGAGTATCTGACAGACTATTTTCAGAAGCAGGAATTCTGAGAGACCATCTTACCCTGTCTTGGCAGAGTACAGTGGTCACTTTTCCTTGTGTCCCACTTGTCCAGAAAGGACAGCATTGCATTTGTACTGTCAGCCGTCAAGGCAAGGGCAGTTCTTTGCCCAGTAGGCCATTTTGTGCCAAGAAGACAAACTTCCAAATGGAAATGTCTTAGAATCCCAACATTCTCTCGGGATCAAATTGTGCTGCCAGAAGCAATTGTGTCTCACATCAACAGAATTCTAAGTTATTTAGATGCCATATTCTCTAGGTCTATGAAGTGTTTGAAGATTACCTGTCCATCTGACCTATGTATCTGTAAATCTGGATAACCTAACTAACATAACTATAGAGATGACAAGCATAGGTGACTATAAATCTATAAGTCTTATCTACTGAAATAACCTAAGGACTACGGCTTCATGTAAAAAAGGTAAACAGTCTATAAGCAAATGTATGGTAAAGGAGGATGACTTCAAAATTGTGACAATACACAAGATATTTATAACAGAGGTAGGAATATATAGTGCGATATGCAATATGACAATAATCTTAAATATATATCAATATACCGAATACCCTAAACAGAAGTAGAACATAATACAGTATGACAGATATAAATTTACATTTATATCAATATACAAATATTTCAAATAAGAGTAGAAATATATGTACATTATAACAAATATAGTTTCTGTATTTGTATCAATATACAAATTATCTTAAACAGGAATATAAAAATAGTTTACATTTTATAAAAATCCATAACAGTGCAAATTATAGTGTAAATTATTTAAGGCTGCTATTTTACTAAATTTGTTTACTAGTATATACAATAATCTACCATAATATCTTATACCTATCCATTCCATTTCTTCTTTTCCCTTTTTTTTTTTTTTTTGGTTTGGAGAATACTGAGTCTAATATTTTCTTCCACCCCCAACCCTATAACCATCATCCATAACCCTGAGAAATATGAAACCTTAGGGAGAAGGGGAATCATTTTTTTAGAATTATTTCCTGCTGTTTAGGGGGTGATGGTATCTCTGTTGGGTACTGTGCGAAAACTCAGATAGTTAAATCTCAGTTAGACTAACTGGCTACCCACTACATACCTATCAAAGACTTTTGAGACAAGGTCTTGCTGTGTTACTCAGGCTGGCCTGCGACTCCCTATATAGCTCAGGTTGACCGGTAACTCATAACAATCCTCCTGCTTCAACCTCCCAAGTGGTGGAATACAGGCATGTACCACCAGGCCCTATGGGTTTAGGTGATTTAAAAGCAGAAAGAAAAAAGAAAAAGAAAAAAAAAAAAACACTGAAGAACAAGGAAGCCCATTCCTTAGTCATGATAGGACCATAGACACCAAAAGCAGATGTGTATTTTAAGGAGGAAGTTCCCCTTTCTCAGTCTACAATTGCCAGCCTTCAAGTTAATACCCAAATCCCAAAACTACTCTGGTTCTTATTTTAAGCCTTGGATTCAAAAAAGAACTGTATTGTGTGCTGGACATTTTCTAATATAATTTTTACTTCTTAGTTATCTGGACATTTCAGGGGGCATTTTGAAGACATTTGATAGTAAGCCTCCTGAGGAGTTTTGGGAACCATCTGGAAGAGCCCAGGAATTCTAGAGAATCTGTATATTATAAGGCCTCCCAGGAAAGTTCCAGAGCTGATGTAGTGTTGAGGAACTCCTTTTAACACTAAACATGTACACACAGATCTTTTTCTTTTTGTCATTGACATCGAGAATCTAAATGCTGCTTGTGGCCCCGTCATTTCCTCCTCCTGTGCTTTCAATTCCCAACCGGAAGATTCCGGTAGGAGTAGCCATGATTCCCAAGTGCTGCCCACTTTGATCGTTTAACCCGAGTTCCTGCTTCAAACCCTGGAGAATTGAGCACAGGTTTTCAGACTTGTCATGGGAAGATTACCAGTTCGGGATGCAGGTAAGGGAATGACTGGCTTCTGCGTCTGCCTTTCAACAGGTGCGTCAGTATGTCGTGCAGGTGATCTTCTCCGTGACTTTTGCCTTTTCCTGCACCATGTTTGAGCTTATCATCTTTGAAATCTTGGGAGTTCTGAACAGCAGGTGAGTGCCAGTCCTACAGCCTCTCCCCAGAAGTGTGTGGCCTTTATTTACAGTAGACATGTCACCTGGATCTTATGGCAGAGAGGATCTACCATGGCTATAGGCTAGTCCCAGGAGCCGCTGTGATCACTAAAAGCACAGCCACTTAGTAACAGGTTCAGCACAGAAGTCTCCAGGGGAACGGCCCTGACCATCAGCTCTGCAGAACCCACTGCAGAGCGTGAGGCTACAAGGAGCCTCTGTCCTGGGCTTCCCTCCTAGCAGCCTTCTGCTTCTCCGACTCTGACTGGGTGCTAGCTGTGCCTCCCAACTTGACCACTACTTGAAAAGATCAAAATTCCTCAGCTGTTTGAGGACTTCAAGGAAGACTGATCTCTGGTTCTTAGCTACCTTAGTTACTTTTACACATAGTCAGGTGGATTGAACGAAGAATTTTTTGAAAATGTCTTCTTAAAGTAATTCCTGGGCTTGGTGTTAGAGCCCTACTTCCAGACTTGTTCTGTAATAATCCAGACCTTGTCTGGATGAGCTATGGAGAATGGACAGGTAATTTTTATGCTATTTGCTAAATTGCATTATCACAAGATAGATGTTTTTCTACTCTCTGAGTAGAATTTAGCAAACTTTTCTACTACGAAGGACCAGATAGTAAGTATTTCAGACTTTGTAAGCCATGGGGTGTCTACCATAATCCTCAGATCTGCCATTATAAAGCAGAAGCAGCCACAGGCAGTATGTAAACAAACAGTCCAGCCCTGCCCCAATGAAACATCCTGTGAAAATTGCTAGGTGCGGGGTCCTAGTTTGCTGACCCTAGATCTGAGCAGTAGTTGTGAGAACATGCCTGCTGTCTGTAGTACACTGTGCCCCTCAACCTAGAACTCCTCATTAGTCCTGGACAGTTAGAAGCAGTCTTCCTTTGGTGTGCATTTCTCATATTCTTTAGTTTACTGTAGAGTGCAGGAATGAGCGCCCCTAAAGTCTGGTTCTGCTTTGGGTTCATTTTTCAGGCTGGATTTGTTGAGGCTGAAACATTTCTGCACTTTTACCTGTTTCTTTACACCAGCATTTGGCCCAGCTGTGGACAGATATGTGGACCTTGATCACGTGGTCTATCTTGCATTCACTAGATTCAGAATAGCTTTCAAAAGAGAGTTTTGCCTCTGAATATGAGTTTTCCTGTGACTTACCTCTAAATAGAGGGTGTATGGCATCCTATTCAAATGCAGAGTATTGTTTGGATCCTTTTTTTTTTTTTTTTTCCAAAAGAACATCACTTTATTTTCTGCTCAAAAGACCAGCTAAAACATATGACAGGCTTTCCTTATGTGTATAAGTGTTTTACCTCCATGCACGTTAAGTGTACCATGTGTATTCCTGGTACCCAGGTTAGCTAGAAGAGGGCATCAGATCCTCTGGCACTGGAGTTACAGGTGGTTTGCGAGCTACCATGTGGGTGCTGGAAACTGAACCCGTGTCCTCTGCAAGAACAGTAAGCACAGGGCTGGAGAGTAAGCCATACTCAGTGGCTCAGCGGTTAAGAGCACTGGCTGCTCTTCCAGAGGTCCTGAGTTCAATTCCCAGCACCCACATGGTGGCTTACAACTATCCGTAATGAGATCTGATGCCCTCTTCTGGCATGTAGGCAGAACACTGTATACATAATAAATAAATAAATCTTTAAAAAAACAAAACAAAACAAAACAAAAAGAACAGTAAGCACTCTTAATCACTGCGCATCTCTCTGGCCCTGTGGTCCTGTGGTTGACTTTTGATTGGCAGTACAAATAACACTTAAGATTTCAAATCTGCTGCCTCCTAGCATGTTCCAGAAGCCAGCTGAAGTACCATGTAGGTCACCTACAGGATATACAGCTCCTTTGCCTCTCTAGATATTCTAGCTGGGTTGATTCAGAGAGCAAACAAACACACCTACACTAAATGACCTTCCCTGTAGGCTCACTGTCACGTACAGGTTCTTTGTTCCTGATGCCTGCCATTTATAAGGGAAAATGGTAAGGACAGCCCTCCATAACCTATGGAAGTCTCTTTGGGAAGGGTATGACTCAGGACATTGTTAAGTGAAATCCTATGAAATCTGCGGGGACCTTTTGCCTACTTTTATATTTTGTTCCCCTCTTTCCCTTGCGGCACTGGGGATTGAACCTGGGCCTCATCATGCTAGGTGACTCCTCTGCCATGGAACGGTGTTTTCTGCCGGTTGTATACTTAATTAACTGCGCTACGTTTACTACTGAGTTATAAGAGCTCTTCATGCATCTCAGAAAGAAAGTCCTATTTAGATAGGTGATTTGAAATAATTTTCTCCTGTTCTTGGGAAGGCTATTCATTTTCAGTAGTGTCCTACTGAGACCAGGCTAGCCTCAAGCTCACAAAGATTCTCTTGTGTCTGCTTCCCAAGTGCTGGAGTCCAGGTACCCAGCTGTGTAAGAGCCTAATTGGCTGAGTAGATGGGGCGTATTCAGTATGGGCTCCCAGAGCAGGGGCTCTTTGGACTACTAACAGAATGAGGGTAGCGGCCTTCCCTGCAAATGACTCTGATGTTGGTTTCAGCTCCCGTTATTTCCACTGGAAAATGAACCTGTGTGTAATTCTGCTCATCCTGGTTTTCATGGTACCTTTCTACATTGGTTATTTTATCGTGAGTAACATCCAACTGTGTGAGTATTTGCCTTCTCTGTCAGCACATAGATTGGGATGCATGCTGTTGTGAGGGATTACAGACAGCTTCATTCCTGGATCTCTTGTTCACTGGTATCTGGGGACAGCACATAGATTGGGATGCATGCTGTTGTAATGGATTACAGATAGCTTCATTCCTGGATCTCTTGTACACTGGTATCTGGGGACAGCACATAGATTGGGATGCATGCTGTTGTGAGGGATTACAGACAGCTTCATTCCTGGATCTCTTGTACACGGTATTTGGGGACAGCACAGCATCTTAAAGTAGTGTAAAATAAGTTCTGTCTGGAAAGTCGATTGTGTCTCCTGCCAGACTATGAAATTTTCAAAGAATAAATGAAAACAATATTTATAAAAAACTGAGTAAGAGAAGAAATTCTTAACTAAAATATAAAATTCCCTAATTACACACAAAAAAAGATTTTCTAGTGGTGGTAAGAATGCTTTTGCAAAGAATTGTATAGTTCCATCATTTGCATGCTAATTACATAACTCATATTTGTAATAAGCTGTTTAGTAACTGCCCTCCCTAACAGTCTCGTTTCCCATCTTAGTACACAAACAGCGCCTGCTCTTTTCCTGTCTCTTATGGCTGACCTTTATGTACTTCTTCTGGAAGCTGGGAGATCCATTTCCCATACTCAGTCCAAAGCATGGTGAGTAGAGTGGGAATGGGTAGAAGGGTTTGATTTTCTAATTTAAAAAAAAAAAAAAAAAAAAAAAAAAAAAAAACCTTTTAAACTTTGATTGTGGGAAATAGAGCAAGTTATTTCTCTCAAAAATATTTGACTTGAAAATAAAATTTTTCCTTCTTTCTAAGGGCATCGAATGCTAGTTTGGCTACATAGGAATTGTAGAGCAGACATGACTGCCAGTCAACTTTCTGTTCCTGTAACAAGAGTTAATCAGCTTAAGACGCAGAAAGCTTTGTTTTGGCTCACAGTATTAGAGGTCAATCATTGGTCAGTTGGCCTGTTGCTTTGGGTCTGTTGAGAGCACGTGGCAGAGGAAGCGTCCTTCATGACGCCAGGAGATACAGAAAAGGGAGAGGGGGTGCCTGGGTGTCACTGTTCTCCAAAAGAGCATGCCTTCCTGATAGGCCCTACCTTTTTTATTTGTCTTGACACTTGTGGGTGGGTTTGCACATGCCAGGGTACTCACGTGGAGGTCAGAGGACATCTTTCGAGCGTCAGTTCTCTCCCTCTACCTTATGGCTCCCAGGGATCAACTCAGTGGTTAGGCCTGGCAGCAAGTGCCCAGCCAGCCAGCCGCTCATCACCCCTCCACTGTTCATGTCTCACATGGGCATGCCAGTTTGGTGAAACCTGCAAACATTTGAGCCTTAGTTTCAAGAAAGTCTGGGAATGCAAGAGCTTTGTGCTCTCCGGATGCCGCAGTACAGGAGGGAAAGCTAGAACAGGATTGGAATGGATGCCAGTGAGCCAGTGTGTGCCCAGCACCCGGGAGCTTGGATCTGGGGAAGAAACTTTTTCCTTCATTTGGTCAGAGGAAACATGTGGTCTCTAAAAGCACATGGCCATTTGGTGAGATGGCTTAGTGGGCACAGGCATCTGCTGCCGAGCCTGATGACCTGAGTTCTGTCTCTGGGACTCACATGTCCCTAACCACATGTGTGCTGTGGTACAGGTGCATGCAAACAGATAAGGAAATCAACAAAGTAATGGAAGCATATGTAGCGGAACTAATTATATTTAAAAATAAGTAGCAATATCTGTTGTGACATTTCAAATAATAAGGAAAGGCAAAATTCAGCAGCCTGTCATTAATCATTAAAAACATGCTCATCAGCTGGAGCTCCATCTGAGAGGTTGGAAGCATTCGCTGCTCCTGCAGAGGGCCTGGATTTGGTTCTCAGCAGCCATGTGATGACTCACAACCATCCATAACTCCAGTTCCAGGGGATTCAGTGCTCTTCTGACCTCTGCAGGCACCAGGCCTACACAAGGGTGAAATACACATAATTATTAAATGAATCTAAAGCACACGTTGTGCTAGGCTTGTATAAGCTGCAGATACTGGCCAATGTTTTAAGTAATGTTGGCTTTTGCGGCGCAGCTGGACGCCTCTCTGTGTGGATTGCCTGCCTTGATGTGTTTTCATGTCTTTAGGGATCTTGTCCATAGAACAGCTCATCAGCCGGGTGGGCGTGATCGGGGTGACGCTCATGGCTCTGCTGTCTGGATTTGGTGCTGTCAACTGCCCGTACACATACATGTCCTACTTCCTTAGGTAATGTACACTTTGTTCTTTTCTTTTTCACTGTTACTGGAATATGTGTGTCATGCCACATCTTTAAATTTAATATTCACATATTAGATCTAGGACTGCTTTTGTATTCTCCTCTTCCTCTGTGTCCGTGGGTGTTTATCAGAAGCCTTTCCAACCAGTCACTTTCTTTCCTTATTTCTTTTGAAAAAGCAACTTAGTAAATAGCCCAAATTGGCCTTAAATTAGATTATCCAACTTCAATCCCCTGGACCCTGGGATTCAGGCATGTGCCATCACATCTGGCTCCTTTATTAAGTAACAAATTTGATGCCCTTTCCTGATGCTATTTAAATGCACATTTCCAGTGGACAACAGTGTCAACTTCTCCCAACTTCAGTAAACTGGTTCCTCTTTAACATCAAATAGTAGAAGACATGCCAATTTAAACATATTTTTAAAAAAATTTTTTGTATATGAGTGCTAGTGTGTATGTATGTGCATTGTATGTACACCTGGTGCCCACAAAGAGTCTAGGATGCTGCTCCGGAGCTGGAGTTACAGTTTGAGCCTCCATGTAGGTGATAGGAACCCAGGTCCTCTGTAGTAGTGGCCAGTACTCTTTTTTTTTTTAAATCTCCTCAGGTTTGTTTGTTCATTTTCCAGGTTTTGTTTTGGTGTTGGTGTTATTTTTCAAGACAGGGTTTCTCTGGGTAGCCTTGACTGTTCTGGAACTCACTCTGTAGACCAGGCTGGCCTTGAACTCACAGAGATCCGCCTGCCTGTGCCTTTCAAGTGCTGGGATTAAAGTGTGTGCCACCACTGCCTGGCCAGTACTCTTAACCCCAGGCCATCTCTATAGCCATTAAACGTATTTTAAATGTGTCTGGGTCAAAGCTAAGAAAAACTGTGAGGGCTTGGGGTCCCCTCTACTGCTTAGGACAACAGGAAATTTAGCTGTAAGAAGCGACGGTACAAGCGTTTTAGCCCAGTGGAGCCATTTTAATGTTTTCTGGAAAACGGGCCCTGGAGCTGTTAAGTAACGGTTGGGGTTCGCGTTTCGCCGGATGGTTTGTTTGCGTGGTGCCCACGGGTGCGACCCCAGAGCATCGCTAAGGTCTTGCTCGTTGCAGGAACGTGACTGACACGGATATCCTGGCGCTGGAGCGGCGGCTGCTGCAGACCATGGACATGATCATAAGCAAAAAGAAAAGGTGAGGCGGGCCCACGTGGTCACGGTGAAGAGCTGCAGAGGGTGTGTGTCTTTTTACTCGTTTTCATTTTGGGGTCGTGCACCACCGAAGACGTGACCTCACCTTAGATAAAGAAAATTCTCAAGTTCTGCTTTCTGAATTTCAACATTTCCCTTCGGATCAATTGTTAGAGTAATGTTTGGTATCTGGAGGATTTTTTATTGTTTTCAGTCCTTTATTTAGTGTCACTGTGCAGAGGACGAGGACGGGCACTTTAAGGCTGTTGTCCTACAGTTTTGCAAACCTTCCCTTGCTTGACTTGGATTTTTTTTTTTTTTTGCTTATTTTTCTCCAACTCCTCTAAGTTTTCTAGCCATTGTTGTTTTTGTTTCTGTTACAATGTTTCCCCTGTACCCAGATAGAGAAGGCGGTATGTTTTCTTGTGTACCCCATAGAGAAGGCGGTATGTTTTCCCATGTACCCCGATAGAGAAGGAGGTATGTTTTCCCGTGTACCCCATAGAGAAGGCGTATGTTTCCCATGTACCCCATAGAGAAGGAGGTATGTTTCCCATGTACCCCATAGAGAAGGCGGTATGTTTCCCATGTACCCCATAGAGAAGGCGGTATGTTTTCCCATGTACCCCGATAGAGAAGGAGGTATGTTTTCCCGTGTACCCCATAGAGAAGGTGGTATGTTTCCGTGTACCCGATAGAGAAGGCAGTGACAGAGCAGAGGAGTCCACCCACACCAGCCTAGGGAGCCTGGGGGTTCACTGAGATCACTCACAGGAGCAGGAGTGACTCAGGCAGTTACGTCACTGAGAAGCCCGCCCAGTGTGGGTGACACCTCATGAAGTTCTAACACTGGACCCCAGTCCTGCAGCCTCAAGGCACTTCTCTGCCAAAGAGCATCCTACCTTTATGACCCTGTAGGAATTCAAGCCTGGTGACCTGGCTGGAGGAGGAGGATTGCTATTGCTTGGGTTTATAACTAGATTCCTGAGAGACTTAGAACTGAGAGAATAAGGAGACTGAGAGGAGGAGAGAGAGAGGAAAAAAGAGAACAGAAGAACTAGATGGCTAAGAACTGGAGAGGAACGAACTATATGGGAAACTAGATTAAGGGCTAGAAAAGAGTACTAGAGGAACAAGATGGAAGATGAGGAAGAGCCAGATGGAGAAGAACAAGGTGAGGAAGAAGGAGATGGGAGAGGAGCTACAATGGGAAGAATCTAGATGGATGAGATCCTAGATGGGGCAGAACTAAGATGAGAGAATTAAGATAGTACTTCGAGGGCAGCAGATAAATGTAGAGAGAAATCAGGCAAGCAAGAAGCTAGGCATGAGAGCAGAATAGAAGCTGTATAGAGAGAGAACTGACTCAGAAGAATAAAGTATATGGACTGAGGAGTTTTGTGTACATAGATTCATTTCCTATCCTCAAAGATTAATTATCAGCCGGTTGTAGATTCTTCCCGGACCCTGGAAGAGGACTATCAAGGGGCTGGGCCCCCGTAGTCCCCGATACCTAGGTGAGCTAGCTATCTGCCAGTACCCTCTATAGTACTGGGGGAAAGATCCCACAGTCACACATATCTGCCAGAGCAGGTCTCCATCCAAAACTCTCCACTCAGCTGTGAAGAAATGAGACTGTGAGCATTTCAGCAGACAAAATAGACAATGGAAACTAACCCCAAATGGGTCCAGAAGATGAAAATTAAGCCAAGGCTTGCACACAGTTAGCTTGGATTCATTCAAAGGAAGGAAGGAAAGCATGATATTAACTAGTGAAAGAAATAGGGAGTTACTACAAAAATGCAGATTCAAAAAAAGTTCAGTGGAGACAGGTAATTTACCAAATGATTCTGAAACAAATCCATGGACCTTTCCCTCCTCTGAAAAAATCCAAATCTGAGTTTCACAATATACAGAAAAGTGAGTTCAAAACAGACCTTGAACTTAGATGTAAAATATAAAACTACAAAACATTTGGGGGAAAAAATCCCTGAGATCTAGAGCAAGGCAAAAATTCTTTTATCCCCTAAAATACAATCCATTCAACAAAGACAGGACGTTTAAAGAGGGAGGAAAGACAAGTTTCAGGCAGGGAGAAAGTGTTTGAGAAAAGACTTTACAAAAGGAAAGACTTCCAGAGTTCACATTAAAAACAGTGGCACAATCAGAATGTGGGCAAACATCTGGATGGCACAGGGCTCGTGGGAAGACACTCACCCGGGTGGCAGTGACGTGGCAGTAGCTGCTGTGGACATCAGGTAAAGCCACAGTAAGGTTACTGCAGTTAGGATGACTCAAATGAAAACTTGGGGACAGTGGGCTGGAGATCCTGGGATTACATAGAACCAGTATGTAATCCCATATGCCCAGTTCCCATCACCTCCTCAGACAGCTTATAACCATACACCTCCAGCTCCAGCTCCAGGGGATCTGACACCTTCTGGACCACAGATCCACTCACATGCACAGACACACACATACAGATCCACTCACATGCACAGACACACACA